GCAGTCGGAACAAGCCTGTGATGGGTCGCTTGTGGCGTATGCGTCAGGCGGTTGACAGTACCGGTGTGATATTCGTGTCTAGGGAATCAAACTACCCCAGTTGACAAGTTTTCAACAAACTTGGTGATCTAGGGTATTTTGGCGCTGGAACCTGTGACACGGATGCGAGGAGGTTTCGTGCCGAGCGGATGTGATAATCCATGTTCAGCACTACGCGCGATATGTCAACTTTCAGCCAGTTCTGCTCACGAAGAAAAAGTTGGAACAAAAACTGGCCTACTTTCTGGTGATTTGGGCAGTAAAGGGTAAACACTGCCTAAAGTCTTGGAAGCGAAGCAGAATTGCCGGCAATTGAGTCTTTTTCTGCTGCAAGTAAGAGCAAGGTTGACAAAAATAACGGATAGAAGTATTTTCTGAACTTGCGGAAGATGTTCCGAAAAAATGCAAAAATCCGAACTTAACAATATCCCATGACCTCTCGCCTATGAAGCAACTTATCTATCCACTACACCATCGACCACTTGAGACTGTCTGTACTCGAACTTAACTTGAGCTACGCAAAGGAGGATCGGCGAGTGCTATGCTAAAACCACCACCCCCCTAACTCCTCATAGAGAATCGTTCGGCAAATTTTGGAAGCAGATTTGAGTTCAGCGTCCCAAGACCTACACGTCGATATACATCTCATCTTGAATGGCCATGGCGACCTGTTGACCTTCCCTGGTAAGCCTAGCCTTGGGTAGTGGAAGGGACACATCCTAAATACATCAGCTCCAAATGCCGTCTCTGTCTTTCCGCTGTTGCCTTGTATGACTGGTAGGGAGATTAGGAAATGCCACTCTGAAGCTGTTAATTACAGACATGTAGATCCATTTAAGCGTTTCGATACGTATATCAAAGTGATTTCAGAACGTTCCCGGCACATGAAGGCTACGTAGTGCTGTCGATAAGCAAAGAGGACTGCGATATTCTCGATAACAAATGCGAAGGCTACATAGGTATCTTTTTTTTCTTAATTTTCGCTAGACTTGGATGAATGATGGAAATTGATGGCAAGCAGACAAGGGACTTGAATTTGAGACTCAAGGCGCATACCGACAACGATGGGCAGAATCCCTTACGTTCACTCTGGTGGACTACCTGGCTCTCTGCTAGTCATGAATCCTACAAAACGAGAGGAGGCGTGGAAGAGGAAGTGAGTAGGACCGTGTCAGTTTTGCAGGCTGACTCAAAGAAGTTAGCCTAGTTTCCTTTGCTCCGTTGTCTAAGGGCACGTGCGAAACGGAAACTAGGCTACTTCTTTGAGTCAGCCCCCTCAAAACTAGATAAGAAAGATGTATTAATGATTCTACCGATCGAAATACTATAAAATCTTATTCATCATTACTATCAGATCAGCCATTTCCGTCAATTGCTTGCAAATTTCAAGATACTATCCTTGATTGTAGCGGCTGGCATCGCTCTACCAAGCTCCTCACACGCCCTTTCGTTAGCAGGAGTCATGACATTATCTGCTAATGTCCTCTATCTTTTATCCTGTGTCTGTGCTCTCAACCCCGCAGAAGTGTTTTGCTTCTTCGAAACGCGTCCAATTCTGAGGCCTTATTGAGAGCGTCCTTCAAACGTTTCTCCACTTTTTCGTTAATTGTTAAGCCATACGGCAACTTTAAAAAGCTTAATAGAACCCGAAGCTGCTACCACCATCTGTTTAACTCTTCTTTCAAGTGACATCGAATCTCTACCCTGTTTCTCGGAACTGCCACATCGCATTGTAGGCAAACCCCGCTCTTCAGCTAGTCAAGTGCGACGCTTCCCGCGCGACTCAAGTTGGACCCAGAGTTCCTCGACCTGCACACCTCCCATCCCTTGACTATGTCTGGGTCACGTTCCCTTGTTTTCTGGTGCTCCTTCCCCAATGTATGCCAGTATGAGATCAACTTTGGAAACTGTTTGTATTTTTAACTCTTTCATTCAGCCGTCTCTAACGTCAAGAAGGAGTTGGTGATCGTTTTCAGGGGCACGAGAACAAAGTGAGCATTGATAACACTAGAACTCGCATAATCCTTAAATGACAGCATCAATTACTAATAATTCATACTCCTAGCCAATAATCAGGCCAACTTTTCTCGCAAGTTTTCAAGTCCAGTTCGCATACGCATCCGCTTCTTCGAGCTAGGAAAAGAAGTGCCGATAGAAACAATATTATGTATATATTTGAGATGGCCTATTATCCTGCTCGTGACAATTGTAAGAGATCGCTCACTTGCCCTCGCGACCGTGTTCACAAGTAGCGAGCTCACAGCATGGTGTCCACTATTGCATGGCTTGATTTTCAAGTGTCGGATCAGAAAAAGGGAAAAGGAAAGTAGATCAAAGAGGTTTTTTCCAGGCCCCTGGGGCGGGCTGGGCGGCGGGGGGGGGGGCCCCCCCCCCCCCCCCCCCCCCCCCCCCCCCCCCCCCCCCCCCCCCCCCCCCCCCCCCCCCCCCCCCCCCCCCCCCCCCCCCCCCCCCCCGATTACTGAGCCTTCTTGCAGCGCTTAGTCACCTCGGAGGGGCATTAGAGACTTGTCCTCCATAGCTTGGATGTACAATGTTATCGAGCCAGAAAGTTTAGACCCTACTTGAACTGAACATTTCACCCTGAAACTGAAACTCTTCAGGCTCAGACAAAAACCCCTCTTCATCCTAACTAGCCTGTAAAATCGTCTTCAAATGCCTTCAAAGGCGTATTCAGTGTCCCCGCTATCGTGCAATGACAAAGGAATACGGTACTCTACTGCACTCCCTCCTGAGCATCGGCATTCTACGGTCTGCACGTCACAGGATCGCTGATGTAGTGACTGCACTCCCTCCCTTTGAGGAAGTGTTAGGGTAATGGGAAATATAACGACTACCGTATTCTTTGTCATTGTGCTGCAATGACTTCAAATTAACGAGGGACACGGATACCTTCTGAAGGCATTTGAGACGATTTACAGGTATAGCAGCATAGATTAGGGGTTCTTGTCTGAGCCTGAAGGGGCAAATTTCAAGTTTCAGGGTGAATGTACCAGTTTCAGGTACGGCAACTCTGCTCGGATAACATTTACTCCAGCTATGCAGGACAAGTCTCTTAAATGCCCCCTCCAAGGTGACTAGCGCTCAAGAAGGCTCAGTAATCCAGAGCAGCTGGAAAACGCTCTTGATCTACTTTCCTTTTCCCTTTCTGATCCGACCAGGAACAAATCAACCATCAATAGTGGACACCATGCTGTCGAGCTCGCTAAGCTACGGTGACCACGGTCCCGACTGGGCAAGTGAGCGCTCTCTACATTGTCACGAGCAGGATAATAGGGCCCTCTCAATATATAATAATTATTGTTCTATGGCACTTACTTTTCCTAGCTCGAAGAAGCTGGATGCGTAGCGAATGGAATTGAAACCTTCGAGAAAAAGTTGGCCCTGAATTATTGGCCCAGGAGTTGAATTAATTAGTAATGATCTGCTTTAGGATTTGCGAAGTTCTAGTGCTTAATCAAGGCTCACCTTTGTTCTCGTGCCCCTGAAAACGATCACCAACTCCTTCTTGACGTTAGAGACGGCTGAATGAAAGAGTTAAAAATACAAACAGTTTCCAAAGTTGATCCTCACTACTGCCACTAACATTGCTGGGAAGGAGCACCAGAAAACAAGGGAACGTGACCCAGACATAGTCAAGGGATGGGAGGTGTGCAGGTCGAGGAACTCTGGGTCCAACTTGAGTCGCGCGGGAAGCGTCGCACTTGACTAGCTGAAGGGCGGGGTTTGCCTACAATGCGATGTGGCAGTTCCGAGAAACAGGGTAGAGATTCGATGTCACTTGAAAGAAGAAGTTAACGATGGTGGTACGCAGACTTCGGGTCCCTATTAAGCTTTTTAAGTTGCCGTCTGGCTTAACAATTACCAAAACAAGTGGAGAAAACCGTTGAAGACGCTCTCAATAAGGCCTCAGAATTGGACGCGTTTCGAAGAAGCAAAACACTTCTGCGGGGTTGAGAGCACAGACACAGGATAAAAGATAGAGGACATTAGCAGATAATGTCATGACTCCTGCTAACGAA